ATTTGGTTTGATAATTTTATTTTCCTATTTTATTCTTTCTTTTTTCTATATTTCCTACATCTTTTACTTTTTGATTTTTTTATCCTTTTCTACATTTTGTATATTTTTTCAGGCGACATATATAAATAATAAGAATTTTATATTGGACCGAACATGTGAATACACACAACCAATAGAAAATAGAATATAACAGTCAAAGTTGGATTTGTACGTAGTGCTCTATTAAATATTTGAGATCCAGCTTCAATCGTTATAAACTTTATCTTTTATTGTTTATATTTTTTATTTTATAAAAAGAGTACGTCCTCACTCTAATATTGTTTTATTGTTCATTCTTATCAATAAGATAAAACAAATTCTACAATTAATAATGAAACATTTCTTAAACGATGATAAATATTGAGAAAAATTAAATCTTTTATAATCTACAAATAATATACAATAAATAAATATACGAATAAATTTTTTAGGCTTCCACGAGTATTTTCCATAAAGAAGTTATTCTATTCTATTCTAGCTATGAAGACACGGAGATAAAACCCGCGAAACGCATATAGTCTTTTTATATAAATAAATTTCGTGGCTCAATTTTAAAAATTGTATAATTTTCATCAAAATCAAAATTTTCATTTTATTGTTTCCGGAAATCCGGATGTAATTCAAGAGAATCTTTGAAATTAATTAAAAATTTATAATAGACTATTAAACTTAGAGACATGGCAGACGAATTCCAGAAAGTTATAAGAAATAATTTTTATAAATATTATTTCAATTTTTGTAAAATTGAATAACGGTTTAATTTTTCACAAATTCACTAATCTTCACTGATTTTAATTGAAAAACATACGATAAGGTACAGTAATGATTGCATCATGCATGTAACAAAAACATGATACGATTAATAGACTCTAATATTTATCACCGAATGTAACATAGAAATAGATTCAGCATTTAGCAAATATTTAATGCGACATTTGCGAATGCATTTCATAGAAATCGAAATAAAATATTCTATTTTTGAAAGTTCTATTTATCGTTAGTAATTATTCCGAATTTCACAAATAATTTAGTCAAATGTACACAATAAAAAATATTTTGTATCTATGTATTGAATCCTCAATTCGAATCGATTTATATTAATTTTGTGTTGAATTTTTAACATTAAAATTTAACATAATAGAGAAAAATTGCAGATACATACAAGTCTCTTAAAGAAACACTCCCTTATTTCTCGAAAACTAAACATTTCACTTTATTAATACCAAAATTGGATAAATTAATGTTTTTTTAAACTCTAAATTAAGTTAAAATTAATAGCTTATAAAATTTGGTTAAATTATAAATTGAATGAACAAAAAAATTAATTCACAGTTAAAGTTACGTTAAGATTGAACTTAAGTTAAATAAAAAATTAATATCGAAAAAACATTTTTATTATATTAGGACATTTTAATTTGTTTTAAATAAGATTATTTTAATTAATAAAGATTAAATAATAAAATAATTATAATATAATTATAGGTCTTTATACTTTATTTGTAAATTATGTGAAATAAACAAAAACGCAATCTTTTGTAATAACAAAGATAGTTTTTTATACAATAAAAAACTGAATTTTAGTATTTTTATATAGATATTTTCGTATTTTGATATTTATAAAAAAAATATAAATAATAAAAAAAATATAAATAAATCTTGTATCTCCTCTTTGTGTTAGCCATCACTCACCGACTTGTTGATGTGATATGTGAAGTTAGAGAAGGTGAGGAGAGAAGGCACAACAAAATTTTCATTATTATTTTTACATCACGACATCTTTATAGATTTCTTTATAGAATTTCAATAATAAGATCATAACATAGAATTATAATATAGAATAATAAATAACGAAATTCTTCTAATAATAAATTCTTATATTTTTGTTTAACTTGTTGAGATACTTGAAGCAAATGTTCAAAAAACTTTGAATATTATTTCTTATAATGAATTCATCCATTAGTGAATCAATATCCAAAGTCTCAGCAACTTGGAATGCATATATAATATACATATTGAATTTAACTTGATGCATCATAGAATGCAAATACATTTTCAACTTTCTCATGGCACCTTGATAGCAAAATACTAGATCCAAAAACACATCGGATGACCCTAACTTTATCAAAATTAAAATGGAAAAAGGCGTTCTAAATAATTACCACGAATTTATACCCTAGAGATATTAATTTATTTCAATTCAGTTCCCGGATTCTAAGAGCCTAAACACAAAAATGGCCGTAACTGAATTATAGAACGTAAACCATAGTTATATAGATTGCTCAAAACATTGTGTGTTGACCTACGATTACGGCTGTATTCCGTTTCATGCGTGATGCGCATGGAGAGCATAGAAATCGTTCCGTTTCACTTCATATACTTATCATCAGATCATGCACTTCTCTTTTTCTTATTATTTATTGGCTTTTGTCTTCACAGAATAAAGAGGTAATATGGTAAGATCACGTCACAAAAGTTCGTTAAATAGCTTTTAAGCCTTATATATACTTAATCGACAGATCATGCGCGCATGGTCTATACGACAGTGTAATGCTCGTATCACACTAGTGATTGGAGAATGGATCTAAAAGAAAGAATGATTCAATAGAAAGTTACTAATTAGTACCTATATCAAGTACTTAATGTAAATAAAGTACCTACTTAATGTAAGTCAATATTAATATAAGACAAATCAACTTTTGAAAATGATTCATTTGTGTAGAATTCGAACAGAACAAGTCAAAATTATCAGCACGTTTCTATGGAGTACGGATGTTTAAAACTGTATAAAAAAATATTGTTTTGTCCTAAAATGTTGATATATGTAATTGTTGAGTCTAATTTAAATTTAACGGGAACAGATAATAGATATCGTAATGTTTAGTGGTATGAGCCTCAGCATAAAAGTTGCTTTCCATATACACAAGCGAAACAATTTGAAGTGAGCTGAGTATTCATACTCAGATTATAATGATGTCATTATTTGCTTACTTTGGTAAAAAATTATCACATGACAACACAGGTTCACAAGGTTACTGAATATCATAAACTCACTTTAAAAGTGAGAGTTTATGATACTCGATAAAGCACACGGTCTCAATCTTGTGCAGATTGTAGGTAAAAATTCAGTTGAATCTCACTTATCAGAATGTAAAAGAAACGCGCATTTAACCGACAATAATGAATCACAAGTGAGAATTAAAGAATCTAAGAATAGATGTAAATGGAAAGCAACTATTGATGGTCATAATTGAGTCGCGAAACATGAGTCATAGGATGCGTTCTACTTCATGTATGGATCGCATGAAACGCAACGCATCACATGAGCGCATTGGCTCATTCCGTTTTTGCATGCGCATGAAAAAACGGAACAGATAATCATTGCGGCTTATGCGTGCTCATAAGTGCTTGCTGTTTTAAACATTCGTACTCCATAGAAACGTGCAGATAATTTTTGGAATTTTTGATAATTCTGACTTATTCCGTTCGAATTCTACACAAATGAATCATTTTCAAAAGTTGATTTGCCTTATATTTTGTTTGCCTTACAGTGACTTATGTTTACATCAAGCACTTGATATGGGTACTAAATAGTAACTTTCTATTAAATCATTTTAATTTTGACGATATACGTAAACATATATACTAATTTGTATTATATAATTAATTATTTTGATGCATATTTGATGCATATCAATTTAGTACATCATTCTTTAAATACATTGCTAAAATTAAAATAATTTAATAGAAAGCTAATAATTAAGTAGTTAGTGTATCAAGTACTTGTGAGATCATTTTTTCAATATCTTTAACTATTGCTGCCAGTAAAACTCGGTAAAAACGTATTATGCCGATTTTTGATACTTCTGACGATAGTTCTGGCTTGTTCAATTTGAATTCTATACGAATAATCATTGTCAAAACTGTATATTCATATTTTTGTTATGCAATAATTTTATCTCCTTTATCAATAACAATATATATATATAT